GAAGCGAAGAAACAGGAACCGAAGAAGGAACAAGAGAAGGGGGAGTTGAAGAAGCAGCAGGAACAGAGATTGAAGAAACAGCAGGAAAAGGAGGAGTTGAAGAAGAAACAGCAAGAAAAGGCTGAGTCGAAGAGACAGCAGGAGCAGAAAGCGAAGAAACAAGGAAAGCAAGAACCAAAGCAACGGGAAAAAGAAGGTAAAGACCAGCACCAGGAGGAGTCGAAGAGCCAGCAGCATAAAGAACAACATGAAGAAGAAACGAAGAAGCCACAAACTGATGAAGATACGAAGAAAAGAGTCAAGGGTAAAGAAGACACAGCGTTGAGGGCACAGCAGCAAGAGGGTGCAGCAAAGAGTCAGCATCTGGAAGAACTGGGCAAACAGGAGCTCGGAGAACCCAAGAAACGTCACCAGAAAAAGAAAGTTAAAGATCAACAAGGTGAGGAGCTGCAGAAACAGATCGAAGAATCAAAGAAACAAGAATCGAAGAAACAGGAAGATTTGAAATCAAAGCAACAGAAGGAAGAGGAACAACACCAGGAATCCAGTAGACAGGAGCACAAATTAAAAGAAGATAAACCGGAAGCGAACCTGCAGCTGCAGAAAGATGAAGAGGGTCAAAGTACGTCGCGCCAGGAGCCCGATCAAGAGTCCCAAAAAACCCAGAGACATTTTGTTCAGCAGGAAAGGGAGGAACGAGGACTCAGTCGCGAAGAGAGACTCCTTCGCTTGCAGTTGGAGGACCTGAAGGTGCACCTGACGGTGCAAGAGCAGACGATGCAGAAGCAGGAGGAAGCAGTCCTGCGCCAAATACACGAGAGACAGTACGAAGAGCAGCTAGAGAGTGGACAGTTGGAGCTGATGCAGATGTACCTGGAAGGTCGAAGGCCGGTTCCTGAGGAGGAGTCGCTGCAAGAACAACAACGACAAATGGTAGACCGAAAGGAGTCGAAGAAGAGGAGGAAACAGGAGGAGGCCAAGATTCGAGGGAAGGAACCCGAATCGCAGAAGCAGGAACAGCAACTGCAGGAGCAGCCCCAAGAGCAAAGCGTTGCACCTGCGGGCGACGTGAGCGGTTTCTATATCAGATTGGTCGTGAGGCAAGAGGGTCGTGCGAATTTGGTTTGGCTCTTGAAAACGCACATGTTCTAAACGTTCATTTTCGCTGTCATCTATCCCACTTCGCTACTGTTAATACCTGCAAACGAATTTGTTATTTCCATGGCGGAAAATTGTTCGAGAGATATAACGGTTTTGTTCTCGTTCACCGTGGCGTGTCGGTAGTCTTTCGATTTCCATACTAAGCGTAAGATTGTCCGAGGTTGTGCCGTAGTTCGTAGATGTTTAAGATTGTTGCTAATAAGGGCGAATGCGCGTAGGTAAGAAATGCTCACTAGTAGGGGAATCGCGTTGATGATTCGATAGGAATCAGGAACGAAGGTTGTAATTGTAATTAATTCTGCTAGTTTTGTTGGATTGCTTTTGAGGGGTGCTCATTTTTTGGCTAGATTCCCGAGGTAATTTTCACGATTGTTTGAGCAGTTGAAGTACTTGAGATAAATTGTAATTTGGTATGTTTACATGTGTAACGTTCTTTAAAATTTTCATCTGTTCTGCTCAATTTGTTTACGAATTACGTAAGAGGGTGTCAAGAAATTATGTGTAAAGACCATTGCAAGCGGTTTCTAAACCTCTGGATCGACGAAGACCTGTTTAAAAAGTTTGGTGCAACCAATTGACCTTGGCCGTCATTTTGAAGGTTACATTTTTTTATGGATGCATTGTGTTTTACTCATCGATTGTTAAACTTGTAGAAGGAACCATGGGTTGGAATTTAACCGTTATCTTGGAAAATTTGGTGCAAAATTGACCTTGACCGTCATTTCTGCAGTCTATAATGAATCATGAATTCTGTAATGAATAGACTGCAGATATTTATGAATTTATAGCAGACGGAAATATACAAAAAAAAAGCAACAAGAATATCAACTCAGCTAAATCTACACAACACAGAAAAAATGAGTACCCCTTTGAAAGAAGTATTTTCGAGGACGAACACGTTTTCATTAACGGAATAGTCATCATTCCGCATATTTCGAATGATCTTCGATAGTCAGCAATTTCATTCTTTCATCCACTTCCGCTGGCTGGTTTCCGAACTCTAATCTCGTCGAATCGCATACTTCATACGATGACGCGCTAACAAAGCACATTATCGACGTCGATCAAAATCTTAGCTGAACTCGAAGAACACTTTCACATCGAGCGCTCGATATCAATTTTCTACTTTCTCGTACAAAATCTAACGCGACTACTAATCGCTCGTGCCACTATAGGGACTCAAGGGCATTGATTGATACTACTAGCAGCTGATTCTGTCGCACGAGATCCACTCGAACTCGAGGCGCGCCGATGGCAACGAAGAGACAAAAGGGAAACAGATGCCAGAACTATGTCGACGATGTTATTGTTGAGCACTTTTACTATACGACATATCCATCGATTACTATGAATTATGTATGTCAAAGAACTGCAAAGACTAACTATATACATATATATACAAAATAATATATATATATATACATAATGTCTATATTTGATACTATACTAGAAGAGAAACAGAGTACGTTACACGCTCGTGTTGCTTCCGAACGAGGGAACTCGAAAACCGTAGTCGATGATTTTTTGACAGTATCGAACCGGTCCTGGACGATGTCTCGAGACCCCGGACGACCTTCGGTTTATCAACCTTCTTTTTCTTTATCATTCCACGCCGACTCCTGACGATTCGAAGCCGAAGCGTTTTCATTGCCAACGACGACTCGAATTTTTCTTTGGAGAAAACGAATTTTTCTTTGAGGGAATTTTTCCTCCGATTTAGGATGTAAGTTCTCGTATTTCTGCGACGCTTAAAATATTTTCTACCGGTTTTTCTACTTTGTTCTCTTACCACAGCTTCGGACGCTAATCCCTAGCGCGACTGAAGCACAGAGCTTGGTTCGCAGTTGGAGGATTGTTGAGGGAGGGATTGAGGTTTTCATCTGTGGAGGAATATAAATGTAATAGTTGGTAAACGCAATGCAAAGTGCGATTTGTGCATCAAGCAATCTTCGAGCGCGTGTACCCTGCTATTCCAGCGATAAGAATATGTTTATGACGCTGTGAATACGTGAATTAATAGTAAGTTACGTTTACGGAACGGCAGCGAGGGGCAAAGTGTTTTCCTGGTGATTTCTGTCTATTTTTCATCTATTATTTCACTTGGACTTCGATGATCGAAGGCAATGTGAAGAGAAAGTTTATACAAGTATTGAGATTTCTGCATTTATAATTGGTCTGCGGATTTTAGGTAATTTGTGGCCTCTGATAATATGATATATTATTTATTAAAAATTAATTAATTAATATAAAAAAGAATCGAATATGTATTAAAATATTTATGGAAGAATTCATAATGGAAAAACCAAATCCAACTTCACTTAAATTCAACCTTAAATCAATATGATACTATTAATATTTTATGTTGATATACTCAATTATAATTCTATAAACATAATTTAATTATATTATAATAATATTAATATTATATTGCTACGTTTCTAATATAAAACATAATTACATTTATGCATACATAAATATAAATATATTAATATAGTATTAATATAGTTATAATATATATTACACATATTTCATATATATATATATATATAATTCTCTAAAATATTAATAAGACGAAGAAAATATTCATAATAATATTACTATTTTACTTTGCATAAGTGCATTTATTTACCATGCACATACCACCATTTATTTTTTATATTTCTACAGACTGCACTTAAAATTCGCAGTTTAGTACAGACACGTTTAACAACGACATTTTTTTCCCTGGCTGCCAATCCTCCAAATAATTGTTTAAGAGGCAGTTATAAACAGAGCACCTATAAACGTTGTTGATCGATGTAATACTCAGCATTGGTACAAAGCCGAACGACAGATACTTGACTCGCCAAATGCTAATGTCTCGGTTCACCCAACGTGTATCAGATTCACTATCGATTCAGATCGACGTGAACATTAAATAAATGTCGACCGTGATTTTGTTCGTTCCACGTGGACCGTACCAGAACTCGAGCCAAGTTGGTTGCTACCGATTTGCAGATGGACGTCTAGAGGAATAAACAAATCGAGTTCGATCGCGCGTATATTAAACAGAGTACCTACGTAAATTAAGTCGCGAACACGATCGCTGTTTTCTTGTACGATTGCAAAAGTTCCTCGAGCGGAGCGTTTTTTAGAACGTGCCTGTTCAGAGTCGTTCCTTTAAATTAATTGATATCGTGACTAAACAATAGAAAACTCACGAGCAAATTATTTAACGATATTGCTCGGAACACTATCTCAATTATTTCCTTGTTTAACGAATTTACACAGCAATTTTTATACAGGCTTATGTTTAATTAAATACTCATTCATTTTATACTAATTAATTGCTTCTATATTCGTTTCTACAATCAAATAATGAAAAATCATCGAACAAATGATTTAAGAATAGAATAGCTCAACAAATTGTATCAATTATTCCTTCATTTAAGGAATTTACACAATTAATTTTTATACAGGCATACGCTTACTGAAAAAATGAATTCATTTTGTATTCATTGATTGCTTTCATATTCGCTCTTATAATCAAATAATGAAAAACCCACGTGCAAATGATTTAACGATAATGCTCAGCAAAATATATAACTCACTTCCTTTTATTCAATGTGTAAAGCATTAAATTAATGGATTGTTTACATAAGGAATTTACACATCAATTTTTATGCAAAAGTATCCTAACTGCGATTCTACTTTGTTTTTACATTTTTGAACAGTTTCGCGACGGCTCGCTTGAATTCACGTCACTTCAAATTCTATTTCTGGTTATGAACAAATTATGAAGATCTTTTTATTTTATGAATATATCACCGAATAATCTATTTAAGAAATTTTCCTGTCAATTGTTATTGCAAGAGCATGCTAACCGGAAAATTCATTCTTGATAGCCTTCGTTAATAGCCGTTATCGCACAAGGAAAGTTATTACGGAATGGTGACGTCTCTTTTAGCAGAAACGGGTTCATCGAGGTCGCGTTTCGTTGGTTTTATTTACACGGTTCAAAAACAATGCCTGACACTGTTAGTACAAATAATTCTTAAGCACAGTTCGAAGGAACTTTTGCGATGGTCTCGCACGTATTGTGTATAGCCTGCTCGAACGATGCGACACGAACCTAACTTACGCTTGATAATTAGCTAAAATCGTAGTGAAAAGAGAATCCCGGATCGTCTCCGTGGTAGAATCCGCGATTACGTGTGCTAATTTTTGCGCGACTGCCTGCTCGAAAACAAATCCCAGGAATTGAGGGCATTTTACGTTACTTAGCGATTCGGTCCGCTTGTGTAAATAAACCGTGAGATTTCGTGCAAATTTTAAACCTCGCAAACTGTGTTGCAGATTTCGTTCCATAGAACTGTCTAGAACCGATAACACGATGTATCGTGATTTGAAAACTTCTTGCTATTCCTCCGTAATCGTCAGACTGTCGTGTACAGTGGTGTCGCATAATTGTTGACAAATCTAGGGAAATAAGTGCGACAACAAATGTAATGGACTCCTGTGCGCTTCGATTTCGTCGTTCTCTTTTGGCACGTCGTTGACAATATTTTATTAGTTGCTTTATTAAACGTTAAACATTGAATACGTTCATATGCATCAAGAGAAGGCCACGTGAACTGTTACGACCTCTTGAATTTATCCATCGTTTACTGTGATACTAAAAAATAACGAATCTCGTTGTAGATCGTTGTCTCGACGATTACTATCGCAGTTTAAGTTTGTTTTTATCGCAATGGAAAATTAGGAACACTCAATGAAATAGAGTGTTAAAGTAATCGTAAAGTTTATTGTTACAGAAATTCCTGAAAAATTTTGCCCATTCTGCCGAATACATACTTCCGTTCTAATTAAATTTTATGAACGCTCTCTAACGTATTCGATTATAATAATAAGATGATAGGTAAAGTCGATTTTCTGGAAAACAAAGCCTTACATGAAAAATTTTTATTCTATAATTTCGACTTATTTTTTCATGTAGAATCACCCCTTTTTCACTTGTACCACCAGTCGGACACCCTGATGTTTGTTTAAATTAATATTTGTTCTTGTTCTTTAATTTCTGTGCTAATGATCTATTACCAAGATCAATAATGTTGAATTTAATTGCTTTAAATAAATTGTTCATTTTACTTTCTACAATATTTTAAAGTGGACTTCAAACGTTTCTCACCAGTAGATGTATTTTATATTCGAAAATGAGTAAAATTCTATTTGAATAATATATCACAATTAGCTAGTTTCACCCGCGTGGAATATTATTCTTATTCTATACAGGGTGTCCCAGTTAGAGCCTGACTCTAGTCATGTTGCAAAGAATGCACCATTCAATATTTATTTACCTATTTTACTTATTTGGATAGGCAGTGATTCGCTTGTCTATTACAAAAATTATAATTTAATTACCAATTAGGAATTTGCAACTCCCCCAAATTGTATTTAAATTATTTCTCACATAGTATTAAATGTTTTTCTAGATATACTCCAAGTGTTATCTGTTATAAGTTTAGCAAGAACAATAAGAAATCAATGTATATATACAGGGTGTCCTAAAAATGTTGGAGGTCCTTGAAAGGGGTGGCTCGGAGATTTGAAACAACTTTTTCCTTAACGAAAATGTTGTCCGAGGCTTTGTTGAGGAGATATTAACAGAAAACCCCGACCAATCAGAGCGCGGCTGCTTAGCGCGTAGCCTACGCTACTGTGAGCGCTCCACCGGCGT